ATGCATAATCACAAAAAGAGAGAGCAGCAAGAGCTAATGCAGCGTCTGTAGGATGTGAATTGTTGCTAAAGTATTCAAGACACTCAAGAGGTTTAGCAAATGGCATATGCTAAGCTAAGCCTTCAGTCAGCAGGCTCGAGTACTGCTATTTCACCCTACAAGGAATAAATAATAATTAAAATTCTTTGTATTGAGATAAATACATTCACTGTAGCTAAAGAAATCAAGGGTGGTAATTCCCAAATAGCCTCGCTGGGTTTTTTCTCCAGTTGAAAGACAGGAAGCTGCCTCCCAGGCATGGATTTATTCCATAAGAATTAGGGAGAGGCATCTCTAAGGCACTGCATTTACTCCACTGCTGCTCAGAGGTTTTGCCTGGGTGCTCTCCAGTTTTCAGGCATGTTATTGAAGCACATTTCTCTTCCTCAATGTTGTGGTTTAACCCCAGCCAGCAACTAAGCCCCACACAGCCGCTTGCTCACTCCTCCACAGAGGGATGGGATGGGGAGAGAGTTGGAAAAGTGAGAAAAATCCTGGGCTGAGATGAAGCAAAAGCCACGCACAAGCAAAGCAAAACAAGAAATTCATTCACCACTTCCCACAGTCAGGGAGGTGTTCAGCCATCCCGAGGAAAGCAGGGCTCCACCATGTGTAACAGGTACTTGGGAAGACAAACACCATCACTGTGAACATGATGAACTTCCTTGTTCTTACCCCAGGTTTATATGCTGAGCATGACATTAGTCTATGGACCACCCCTGTGAAATGTTTGTAAAATATCCACTGAGTTCATATATTCCACGACTTTGGGCTCCATCTGTTACGGTGGTCACTATCATGTGGTGTTTCTGGGCACCAAAGCCAGCTCTGGTCAGGTCATTGCTGCACTTGCACTGCTTCTTGTAAGGACTGTCCTCTGTTGGTTCAGGTCAATCCTGCTACAGTAATTCCTGTAACACGCAACTCAAATCATGGGTTACCAAAGGTTTTAACATTGCAATGAACTCCTCCCCCTGTGCCTGGTCTGGCTTGGGCTTATCCACAGACTGGGGTCCCTTAGGAGCGTACCTGCTCCAAGTGGAGCCTTATCTATGAGCCAGAGTCTCTCCAGGGATATACCTGCTGTAGCATAGGGTTACCCACAGCCGCAGTTGCTTTGAGGTCACCTGTTCCAGAGTGGCTTTATCCATGGACCACAGTACCTTCAGAGATACCTGCTCCAGTGTAGCTTTACCCAGGGCTACAGTCCCTCCAAGGACATACCTGCTCTGTCGTGGGCTTATCCATGGCCATATGTTTTGAGGTACTGCAGCACGACCTCATGCACAGCCCCTGATGCTTCAAAGCGTACCTGCTGCAGCAAGGACTTATCCACACACACAGATGCTTTGAGGTACGCTTTCTCCAGCATGGATTTATCCATGGGCCGCAATCCTTTCAGAGGTATACCTGCTGTGGCACAGACACAACCAGGGCCATCAATGCTGAGATGTACCTGCTGTGGCATGGGCTTATCCACAGCCATGGAGGCTTTGGGGTATCCTGCTCCTGCATGGACTCATCCACGGGTCACAGTCCCTTTGCCTCAAGTTCTCACTGGAGTTCCAGCCTGCCCAGTTCAGCAGCACAGAAGCAGCAGCAATGCCCTGGCCACCTTCCAGCCCAGGCGCATGGCCACTGCTGTTATCAGAATGTTCCCAGGCACAGCACAGTAAGACGATAAGCAGTACAGCAATACAGCAAGCAGTGAAAGCAAAAAGCAGCCACAAACAAGCACTAGACCCTAATATACAGTAAGGCAATTAAGTCCCATGGCAAGCCTGACAATCAACAGCTAAACAGCAGTAACAGCCATAAATTCAATTTAGCACATTCCAGTCAAATCTGTCATTGTCCCAAAACCTTGAAGCCCCACGTGGGGCACCAAGAAGGACTGTCATGGTTTAACCCCAGCCAGCAACTAAGCCCCACACTCCTCCACAGTGGGATGGGGAGAGAATTGCAGAAGTGAGAAAACTCGTGGGTTGAGGTAAAGGCAGTTTAACAGGTAAAGCAAACGCCACACACACAAGCAAAGCAAACCAAGGAAGTCATTCACCACTTCCCATGGTCAGGCACGAGTTCAGCCATCCCCAGGAAAGCAGGGCTCCACCAGGTGTAACAAGTACTTGGGAAGACAAACACCATCACTCCAGACATTCGCCTTTCCTTCTTCCCCAGGTTTATATGCTGAGCATGATGCCATATGGTGTGGGATATCCCTCTGGTCAGTTCAGGTCAGCTGTCCTGGCTATGTCCTCTCCCAATTCCTTGTGCCTACTCGCTGGTGGAGTATTGTGAGGAGCAGAAAAGGCCTTGGCTCTGTGTAAGTGCTGCTCAGCAGTAACAAAAACATCCCTGTGTTATCAGCACTGTTTTCAGCACAAATCCAAAACACAGCCCCATACCAGCTACTGTGAAGAAAATTAACTCTACACCAGCCAAAACCAGCACAGCCAAGTATTTAGAGAGTCCCCAGAATACGCACAATCTGAACCTGCCTTAGAATTATTTTCCAAAAATTACAGGTCAAACAAAAAATACACTTGAATATAGCCTGAAGAGTTATTGGAGACAAGCAAAGACTAAAAAGCCTCACATATAAATGGCAGATTACATTTAAGTTGATTCTCACTGCGGATGAAAACTTGAGCATCTCAGAGTTTGCACAAAGAAAAACTCTGCTGGAAAAAGGCAACACTCACCCTTGACTATTGATAACATTTGATTTAAAGCACTCTGAAAAATTATTTGTTCTAGAACAAAAGCAAAAAAATCAAAACAAGTCATTCCAGAAGTGTTACAACACAACTGACTGGAACATCTACTCTTTGGTTGGGTCTCAAGTACAATTTTAGTCTATTTGAATCAGTTTCATGGAGAAGAGGGTGCAGTTTTGACAGAGCTATTGCTAAAATCATCTCAGCAACAAAACGTTGCCCTGACTAACTTTGGCAACTAATGAACAACTTCAAAACCCAGCTCCACAGTTATAAAACTATTTACTACCTAAATGATCAAATTTGCCAACATTGAAGCAGCGTACTAAAATTATTCATGCGTTACGTATCCAAAAACCTTCACACACTATACTGGAGAACGGTTAAAAATAAGTAAATCTTAGATTTAGAATATGCTCAGACTGTTCTTCAAACAAAACAGAAGAACCCAGAGGTCAATCTCCTTTTTTAAACAAAAATAATTCTTTGTGAATTTTGGTAAGGAAGCAGGTGAAAAGCCAATCTGCATGTTAAGATTGACTTTTTTATATACTCAGTGTTATGGCCTGGAAGTGCTAAAGAGACATTCAGAATATAAAAGCAACTGGAGACAATCGAGCCATTTAAAAAGCACCAGAATTAGCATTCCTTTTGTCAGATCCCAATAATTCAAGTGCTGTTCTGCCACAAAGGCTATCATCAATTTCTAATTTTAGCTTAATCCATGAAAAAAAAGCATGTCACATTTCTCTCTGGCATTTCCTCATTAAGAACCCTCTTAAATTACATACTGAAATCTCAAGAACACAAACTACAAATTAAAGTTCACACTCCCACAGAGACACACACACTGGCATGCACTTTGATATACTAATCACAGTAACAGTAACGCAGTTACTTGCGCTGAGACAGAGCCAAGCAGTGCCTTAATGGCTGCGTGATGAGTACCCAAGAGTAAGAAGTTAGCTCTAAATCCCACAGAAAGGTGATCTGCCCTGCTTTTGAGCCCCCAGCCCTTCCTTTCCTCTGTTACACCCGATTACTCCCAGTAATAAAGGTTCAAGGCCAGGCTGGACGGGGTTTTGAGCAACCTGGTCTAGTGGAAGGTGTCCCTGCCTATGGCAGGGGGCTGGAACTGGATGATCTTAAAGGTCCCACCCAACCCAAACCATTTTGTGATTCTATGATTCTATGATTCTATGAAGTTGTACAAAAATTGTACCTCCTGATCCTCACACGGAGTGAGCGGTCATGTTAAGACCCTATGAAAAACTTGCAGTTTAAGTCAAATTAACTCCTTGTGTTAAAATTTTAGGGGACAGCTTTCAAGGTCAAAGTACGAACCCACTACACAGAGTACTAACCATCGCACCTTGCTGCCAATACTCTGAGCATCCAAGATTCGCATCCTCAACACAAACACAGCCCACTGCAAAACTGCAAATTCCTTTGCTCCCCAGGTTGCACCCTACCAATCGCACTAGAAATCTACTCATTCACCTTGAAATCTGTAGGTTTAGATTCAGTTGTATTTCAATCATCATTACGAAGGAGAAAAGAAGTATTGTTTTTCAAACTGAAGGGAAGGTTTTGTCTTCACACAGAGCTGGCGATCTTCCTCAACAGTTTCACAAAGCAGAGTTAATACTACATGCCAAATTCACAGGATTCCAACTCACAAAATAAGTATGGAATAATCAAAGCAAGAGCTGTGGGGGTGAGAGTCTTGGGACACCAAGATTGCAGCCCAGTCTCACCACTAGAAGTTTCTGAGACTGACCTGCTGGGGAAGCTGTAATGCTCCCTGCCTTCATCACCCCACACTGAGGGTGCTGGAGCTGCTGCCCGCATGGGACGACCCATGCCCAGGCAAGGCTACAGTCTGCCAGTAGGAAACGACTGTTGCATGAGATTTATACCTTCATGGCTCATCATACAGCAGATGTCTGTGCTTCTGCAGATGTGCTAGTATACAGAAGGCACCCAACAGTTCTGATGATGCAGGACTGGACCAGAACAACAAGCTTTGCTTAGACAAGCCCCCTACTCCCGCCTCCTCCATTTGCCTTCACCCTGCGCTTTTAAGGAACTATGGAAAGCAGGAGCTGCATTTTCAGCTGGCACTAAAGCAAATAGGGCAGGATCCCGCTCTGCTTCCTGACCTCACTGCTCATGTAAAACTGCACTGCAACATGCTGGAAGTGACTGCAGTTAACATCAGCACAAATATACAAACAGTGATTTATCAACATTGTATGCTTTATTGAAAGTCGACAAGTGCAACAGTTAAATACAATGACGTGTTACAACTGTTTAGAGAACATGCACAAAAACATATGCATACTACTATACAGATCATATGCAAAAAATCCATACTGGGAAATCCGATTCCTTTTTTTTTGGTTTTTTTTTTAATATTTTCTTTTAAATTCTTTGCTAGCAGGCTTTGATATTTTTGGAGTGGTTTTTCCTGTCCTGAACCAAACTACAATGAACAAAGATTTACTTCAAGATAATCAGCAGCCAGGGAACTTCAGAAGTTACACAAACAGCATAAATCTGCCAAATTCTGAACAGTTGCGTAGGTGCATTCTTATTTATGTAGCATAAAAAAAAGAAAAAGAGAGACTTTCCAAACTTCTTCAGATCAGCCAATGAAACAACTAAACTTCAATCTGTACAACCTAAATAGTTACAGTTTTCTATTTTACAAAGTAATTACACTAAATACACAAATATACAGTAGGCAAATAACCTTCATTGTAATTACCCTATGACCCAACTGTACGTCACCTACCTGCTTTCTATATATAATACAGCTTTATGCACCTGTCCACTGCTTCAGAAAACGGTGCAAGTATTTGCACTTAAGGTTTCAGGTGACAATTTAAGTGTTAAAACACTGAATTTACCTTTCTCCCTCTTCCTCTTAGATCCTATGCACCAAGTCCTCACTTTGGAACCCCAGGGCACTATGGGGGATTGAGCCATCTCTTTTTACTCCAGTCTATTTCTTCATATTTCCAAGCTGGAAAAGCACTTGTATCAGTTATGTCACTGGATGAGCGGAAGATTTTAAAACAAACCAAAAAAAATTCAGGCATGCAGCTTCGTTTCTCAGCCATTTGCAGAAGCTGCTCAAGTCCCCAGTGTACTTGTGCTAATTCTCTGGAAGAAGTTTATGTTATTCAATCAACCTAAGAACAAAGACTCCTTCAAGCCAAAGGGGGAAGGGAGGGAAGAGAGAGACAGATGAGTGCGTAATACAGGGGGGGAGAAGCCTCTCCTGGCATGTGCAGGGCATGGAGTCCTCAGTCTGGGTTGCAATATGCACTGAAATGGATGAAGGGTGGCTGTGGCGGATTCCCGCTAGTCCTTCTTGCTCTGGGTAGTCCAGAGGCCAGCGATCACGATGGCAATGACATCTTGAGCTACGCTGAAGGCCCTGACCCCTGTGATGCCGGCTGAGCAGGCTGCTGTGTTGTCCCTTGTGACTGGGAAGAGGAAGGCGGGGAACCAGTCTGCAGCTGCGCTTGGAACTGGGCAAGCTGCTCCGGGCTGGCGAGTGTTTTTAGCAGAGTGTTTTCTTGCTCCAGCTGGGAGTTCTTCTCTATCAGCTCTTTGATTTGCTCTTTGAGGACCTCCACTTCCTCCCTTACCGCATACATCAAGTGACTCTTTACCAGATCCTGAAACGCAGGGAAGAGACCGTGCATTAGGAAAGCAGCCCATCGCCAGGCCCGGGCTCGCACCCAGCGGAACCACATCGCAGAGCAGCGGTGTGGTCTCAGCTCTGCCCGGGTGGAGGAGA